TGTGGCTACCAAGAATGGGCCCTTGTCGGTCCAAAGAACGGTCTAGACAAGGCGCGTAATCAGGGCTGCATAGCCTCTTTGGCCTAGGCAGACACTCAAAGTGGCCGTGTTATGCCGGCCTTGTTAACATTGCACTATTCACAGGGCGAGACGAATAGTATGCTTTAGTGAGAGACACCCAGACTGTTATCTCGTTCAACAATCTTTCCTGCTACTTTTTGAGTTTTATTTTTTATTTGAATTACAACAATTTCTCTTCGAGTGATCAAATAGTCCTCTCGCCCTCATTCAATCCACCGGCTTCGAAGCTTTTCTGGGCACCTTGATTTTTTGAAGAATCTGCCAGATGTTAACTTACGGCAATTTTCCTTCTCTTCCTTCCTAGGCATCCACAACAGTTTGCTCATTGCAAATATGAAAAACTGAGTTTGAAATCTGTTCTTTGGACGATAAAAGGCAGCGATAGAAAATTGCTCAGTGTAAACAGAATGTCTTCTTCCTTGTCAAACGAAAAGCGGTCCTTATCAGTGTTACGCGATGGAAAACTAAGACATATCGAGCTTAAAGTATTCAGAAAAAGCTCCTCTAAGCTGGCACGCTATCAGTTTGTGACCCGTCATTTGGAATCCTGCCCGATATCGGTTGGTCGGTACACAATTTGCTGTTTGTGATATAGTCCAATCGAAAAATGACTATTACTGTTGTTATACTAACAATAGCTCAGGTAACTGAAGCTCCTCATTTCTTGGGGTGCTCCCGGAATTCCTGAACTTCTCCCGGCAAGCGGCAAGGGTAACGCGGCAGTTGCCCTATCCTTGCACTGGAAATTCAAGCCTTTCCCTTCAAAGCACGCGATTGCGCTCGATCAGGTGCGGCGAACGCGACACCGTTTTCGGGGAAAAAATACCGGACCCTCATTTCTTGCAGTATTCTGTACTCTTTTGCAGTTACCATTAGTGGTACGCGGTCAATCTTCCCACTAATGGTACTTCAAAAGCGTCAGGTCGTACCAATCCGGTCTTCATGTCTATGCATGACTAATGATGTTCTATGGTTCTTCGCCGTTCCCGGTCGACGTGGTGACAAATCGCAAAGTACAATGACGCACTACTTTTTTCCTAGATGAAAAATCGATCCACAGCGTATCTTACAACGGTCACATACCAATTTCTACAGGGTAGGTATGATGAGGGAGTATTTACATAGGTTTAGTGTTAGGAATAGTTCAGAGTGGAGTAGTCCAGAGCAGTAAAAAAGTAGCGATGACCACGCTGCGGTAAGCTGCCCGCATGCAATGTGTTCGTCGTGGCGCGAATGGTGCGGCCTCTACGGTCTTGACAACGGCGTGAGGAGCTCCTCCAACTTTAGGGTGTACGTCGGCTAAACCGATTTTGGGACCCCTAGCGCGCCCATCTGGGCTGTTTTTCTACGCAAAAGCGTCCCTTATGCTAGCTTTTTGAGTTACAGGTCCATCTCATGAAGAAATTCCAGAAAACATTTCCGTCGTGAATTGCGCCTTCGAGGACTGTCCACCATTCCAAATGTGTCTTGTTCTGAGTCAACTTCGATATCGGTTGTAAACCCCACTTCTAAGGCGGAAGACTTCCAAGGGCATTGTAGAGGCTGCAACATTCAACCATGCAGGAACTTGTTATGATCACTGGCGACGGTGGAAGGCAGATTTGAACAGACTGGTTTAATGTAATCAACTCTTTGCGCAACTGCAACAACTGAAATCTCGTCCGAGTATCTCATCCATGCCGTTTCCGTCGTTATGATCTCGTACATCCTCACTTTCCATCACTAAGAGGGGCCTTATTTTAATCGAAAACGGCGAATTTTCTCGTTTTTGCCGCCTCCATTGCGCTCCTGTTAATCAGTACTCCCGCTTTTGAATTAAAAAGGGTACCCTCAAATTATAGTGAGCTGTGTCTTAAGGCAGATGACCACAATTCTTCGAAGTTCGTGGCAAGTTTTATTCACATTTCATCTCTATTTTTTTGGTTCAGAGGCGGAGGTGATGTAGTGGCAAGTGGCGCGCTATCTCACACGCATGGCCAGGAGTCCGAATCCCGAATGATGTTAAACTAAAAAATCTTTCTTGCACTTGCACTGTCCCGATTTTGCAACGTAATTCCTTTTGAAGCTACCGTGGTGTATAAGATTGCTGTTTGCTTCAAGAGTTTCTTCCGAAGTTTTCTCTTTTTTTCAACTAGGTTTGTTTTTATATCCCGTTGAAGTTCAGCAAGAAAGAAGCAAAAAAAAAACTGCTGTTCCCTTTGCCAAGCCTTATTGACAAGTCTAGAAAGGGCATTTTCAGGGCGAACGAGAAGGCATTCGATTTAACTGCCATTGAAAAAAGCTCTTAACCGCTCCGAGGAAATCGATAGAATTAAGGTGATACTATCAGGACAAAGAAATGTCTCCCACTCCTCAGCCTCAATGCTCTGCTCAAGTAGATGTCCAAACAAGTTTTTTCTCTAATATACAACAAAAGGAATTCCCAGGTCACGATAAAGTCTTCAAGTAACGACCATTCCCGTTTGAGAGATGCGCTCCCCAGTCGACTTCTATTCAGAATGGTAGTGGCGTTTTGAAGGGCCTGCGGTGGCCGTCTCATGGGAAAGTCAGTACTTTTACCTTCCCAAATGAATCTTCACAGCATCAGCTACACGTCCACACAGTCTTCTGCTCTCACCCTCACATTGGCATTCTGGTCCACATCAAATTTGAGCCAGGGGTACAGTAGCAGCCTGCTTGGGCAACGACACAACGAGCTCTTCAGTGTTGGGAACATCCTCGGAACGCTGCTGACACCTGTCATATTCTCGTGCACAGTTCATATATGAAAAGGGTTACTCCAAAGATAACGTCATTTTTCGAAGAATTCTGGTTTTCCCAATTTTTTCGTCGTATTCTCCGTCATCATGGAGTCCGCTTCTGAATCCTCTCATAGTGAATCCAATCATAACAGAACCTTCCTTTCAGGACTTGTTTCAATGAATTTTATGACACCGAATCTTCAGGATGTTTCCATCTGTCGAAACTGACTTTGGCCTCCGTATGCTACGGTATGCGACGGCCGACGACTCTTCAGTAGTGTCGCCTATCTCTGTGATCTTGGCTTTGGCCACGGTCCAAGCCGGCTCGAAGGGAACCACGAAGTCTCAAATAAATTCAGTCATCTCAAAGGGTCCGAAACGTGACGTGACCTTTTCTTCCTTTAGTGATGTGTAAGGCATCAAAAACTTTCAGGAGCGTCCGATACGGAAGTGGAAGAGTATTACTCAAAGCTCTTTCATCAAATCATGAACGCGACAAATGGGGTAAAGAGCAGGATAGCCAACGGATTCTTCCTAAAGTAAGTAGGGCTACTTCGGAAACTCGTCAACCATCACTTGCATTTGAAGTTTCCAGTAAGCAATTCAAAGTTGAGAGCAACTATGAGCAAACCATCAGAAAGAGGTACGAGGCAAAAGTTGAAGCTCTGGATTTTGGGAGAGCGAAGGAAGCTGTCAAGGTGATTTCTCCTTCAACCCACCCTAACATCAGTTTAGAAGATTTGAAGTAAACTTCTTCAGGTTATTGATAATTTCATAGCTAACACGACCGAGGGAAAAATTCGCGACATGCTTAACGAGGGCTCTGTTGAAGGTACATTATGCCTCACGTGTGTGTTTCTTCTCGCAAGTACTCACTCATTTTTCCCTTTTTCACTCGCTTGTTGCTTTCTTGTACTTGACTCCTGATAACCGTATGATTGATTCAAAGAAACGGAACACTTTTGCAGGCGCATACTCCTTGATTGTCAATGCCATCTACTTTACGGCTGAATGGAAGTTCAAGTTTGATAAAAGCTCGAACTCGAAGGGCACATTCTACAGCTCTGCTATGAAAGAACGAGAGGTTGGCTTGAATAGCTCTGAAAAAATGGCACATATCATTGCCTTTGTGCATTGGAACTTTCTCATGGTGTTGGAAATTCATTGAGGGTTAACAAAGAGGAAAGCAGAATAAAAAACTGGAGGGAAGTTCGACTCCGACAGTGTGACCCACGATTGAATGAAATGAACTTCACAAGCACGCTTCATTCCACAACAAAAGTCATACGGATGCACACTTCCCAATCTCGTCCGCACACCACGCCAAGTGATGCAACAAAAAAGGGGTATGTGGCACTATATGCGTCCGAGGATGCGCGCAGCAAATTGCGCGACGAAGTTCGTAACGATTTGAACGACTTTAGCGCCTATCATTGGGGCCCAATTTGAAGTAAAGTAAATTATAAGAATCATTGACCCTACTAAACTACTCTACTTCTAGTTTCGAGTCCCGAAAATCGGCGTCAGAATCGTACAAATCGTTACGAACTTCGCCGCGCAATCTGCCGCGCGCGCCCTCGGACGCACGTAGTGCTCGTCCCCCTCGAAAATTCCTGAAGGACACGGGGTAGAAGGACACGGGGTAGGTGAGTGCTGCTTCCTGGCCTTCACATCAAGGAAAGTCTTGTTTACCGGTCTACGCAGTATGAAATGAATAGATAAGGGCGAAGATATAAACTAACAGGAGGTAATGAGAATACTACTAGAATCCTTTTTGTCTTCCGAGCAAGGCAAGCCATATTACGAGTCTAATCTACTGTAATGATAGAAGTTATAGAGACTTGACTCGCTTTTTTCTCTTTCTCCATTACTTTCGAATGGCATAGAAAATGCGCTTCAGGTCGAATTCATGAATGAGTATGATGAGCACAGACTTTACGCTGAAGACAACGATCTCCAAGTTCTTTCCCTTCAGTATTTGGATACTTCGTATGCGCTCAATATCTTCTTGCCTAAAAGCAGGTGAGAAAGCGCTGCGTCAAACATAAAACTCAAGTCTGATGCATTTTGAAATGTAACTGAGGAACCAAAATTCTGGTGAGTTTATTGATGTCTGGCATCTTTTCAGATTTGGTCTTAACGAAATTCGTTCAAAACTTACTGGAGAGCGAATTCAAGGTCTTCTCTCAAAGCTAAGGCAAACCTACATATCGGTACTGCCGAACGTAGAGAACTTTAATCAAATCTTTGAAATTTTCTTAAAGCGTCTGAAACCTAGAGAGGAAGTAGTCGAAGGAGCTTAAAATAAGATTGTTTCATTGGTAACATCCTCTATCACAGATTGCAATCCCGAAAGTGAAGATTGAGACGGACTTCAAGCTCAAGGAGGCGCTTATTGGCATGGGTGTTACGGATATGTTCAGTGACACCGCTAACTTGACCGGAATCAGCAAAGAACCTGCGCTCAAAGTCTCCGATGCTGCTCATAAAGCCATAATCGAGGTAGTTAGATAATTCCCGTTCGTATCCTCCCTAGAAGTCCTTTGGGTACTCATCCTTTTCAATGGAAACACCGTTCAGGTTGATGAGGACGGGACGACAGCAGCAGCTGCTAGTTTATTCAAGGTAGTACCAGAATCTGCTCTCGAGGAAGTCCCAGTGAAGTTCGAAGCCAATCATCCATTTTTGTTCATTCTAACGAAAGACAACAATCCTCTGTTTATGGGTCAATTTGTATGAAAACCTCGATTTATGTGCTAAATGTGATTATTGCAAGAGATGAAATTTCACCTATCGAACTACTCTGTGCTCTCCTATTGAGCATCTCACTACCCTATGCCAAATGCACTGCAACAGATGTGCGTACTCGTGCTAGATTATGGTTCGAAGAACAGAATGCTCAACTAGAATCGTTTTTGCCCTCTCAAAACAAATGTCTATACAGTGTGCGCCATAAACATGGTAACAAAAGAATTTGGTTGAAGAAATCGCAGTACATATTGACACATGGTGAATTTATGTGAGGTGATTTACTATGCATCACATCTACAAAATGAACACACGGTCATCTTATGTAGCCATTTCCTGTACTAATTATAGCCCAATGATGCTTCGGCTACTCATCGACGGCGGGACCAAAATTTGCGATATCGCTCTGATAGTAGAGTTTCTAGCAAAACATATCATCAGAGAGGGATGATAGCTATGAGAGGCGAGATCTGGTGAGATGAGATCTGATCATTCTAAGCGGCTTCAGCACTCGAAATGTGAAATATACGTATACTTTGGAGTCTCAAAGTTCCTTCCACGCTGAACATCCTTTAGACAAGAAGAGGTTTGTCGAAGCGCGTGCCGCGCTCAAGTAGCGCACGGCATATATTTTTTCTCTTCAACTGCTTCTTTTCAAAAAGCTTGTAAGACTTTCGAGTCATTTTTCGTTACAGTTGTATTTACTCTGGATGGACTCTTCCCATAGGATTAGAACATACAAACAAATTAGCAGCCACTTTTCTCGTATTTCGGCAGGTTTTGCACCGAACTCCTTCCCAAAAAAGTATATTCGGAAAAGGAATTGTATGTGAGGCAAGACGACCGTCTTACCTCACATACAATCCTTGGGGGACAGTTATTGATACAGCTTCTTGAAGCTTCACTGTGACGGGAATGGCATGTAAGGGGTGGTTGGACGAGCTTAAACTTGCTCCCATTGTGCAAAAAGATGAATTCACCAAGCCGAAATTGTCTGAAACTACCTTTCACTGTCGCCATGGGTCATGACAAGTTGTTTGAATTTCCTACATGGGAGTCTATTGAGACAGTGCAGCCTCTACAAAGCCGTTGGAACTCGTCGATTATGGGTGTGGCATACACACGATACAATCTCTCGCCCTTTATTTTGCTCTATTCAGGACATTTTTCGCCTTTATTTTGCTCTTTTCAGGACATTTTTCGACCTTGTAGTGGCAGGTATGGTATAAGGGGGAGCCTTGAATTCATACTATAGGGGAGTCTACGAAACCATTTTTATCGTGAACTGTGCCTTTAAAGCTGGGACGAACTGGATAGCTTCATAATCTTTGGGCATATGGTCGCAATGAGGACATGACGATCTCAGAGGTATGACCACAGAGGGTATCTTCTCCTATGATGGGAGGCTTTCACTGTGCAGTTTGCACAGCTGCTTAGAACGGCGAAACGGATTTTTATCAAGTGGAGCAGCCGCTTGATGCTTGAAAAGGAACTGAATTGGCTTGGAAATAAGCTAGTGGGAGAGCTCATTGAGCAGAGTAGATGCCACTCTGTCAAATTTAAATGAATTCAGGTTAAAGGTTGATTGCAAGGGCAACTATTTCGAAGGGAAAAATAACAAAAGTTTGAATCATGATGCCCGTTGTATTGCAAAACGGGCACAATCGTATTTGCATAAATGAGACTCCCACATCCAACTGGAATCAGATGAGGTGATTCATGAAGCTTGCTGTTTAAATATTATGAGATTTCCACTTCAAAATATCGAATTTGCACTACTAACAATGGGAGCAGCAAAAAGTACGCGGTAAGCTACCGGAGCATACTGGTGATGTCATCGAAAAAGTGCCAACTTCTATGACTCTATAAAAGTGCACTGCAGACGGTTCGGCCACTGTATCCTGTACTGATTTAGTCCTTTCCTCTGAGCTCCTCCCGACTTGCCATTTTTTAGAGTCGACTTTGATCCGTAAGATATCTGAAACCCATCGTTATAACTGCTCCATTTTTCAGATGAACTTATTAGTGCTCTTAGCAGTGACGGTTACGGTAGCAGCGTTTCCAGGGCCGGTATGTTGTGATACCTTCAAAGAAATTTTCTCGAAGTTTGTGAATTCAAACAGTACGAAATTATTACTTATAGACATAAGAAAATACCAAATTCTTTCCCAGCGTTGCCTTATTACTGTTGGCAGAAAAATTCGATTCTTCACGTGGTTGCATTCAAAATGGATAGAACCTCGTAATGCACATTAGGGCTTAATAATTAACTGAATCGTGCTCCACTGTTGAACTCCACCATGTTGGCTTGTCATGATACTTGGTTGTTCTATTGAGACCACAAAATATGTTTATTTAGGGTATCGGAGTGAAATGGGAATTCCCCAGTAATTCTGTATAAGTTGAAACATGGGTTCGGCTTACTCCCCACAAATCGCATGAAAAGCAACTCAACTTAACTTGAGAAGCCCAATGAAATCTTCCCATCAGTCAGCAGATGTTTTCCTTTTGGGCACCGTAATACTCAAACCGCTACTTTCTCAGAGCTCAACTATATCAAAATGACAAGCCGAACGGAACTAAACCGTTAAAAATTCTTCAAAAGGTCGCTTGTTGGTAGTATTTCCCTTCATAAGAAGATCAGAAAGTCCGCTCTGAATAGGCCTGCGCTAGAGATATAGGCGACCTCCATAGATGTATATGTAGTATTGGGGCGAGTAACAAACTTTCATCTTAACCAACGAAGCTATTTCTTACGGCTGAGGGCAGAGGGAAAGGGAGGGGGAGGGGGTTAGCAAGAAGATTACATTGTGGTTGCCACTAGTTACCAGAATGGTTTCTGTTCCCATCACGGAAGGAGAAAATCTTTTGTCCTCCTGCCCCTAAGATGTCCACTGGTTGTCCGAGCCGTGACGTAGGGAGTAACAGTGAGAATTTGATAGTTTAGGCAAATTTCAGAATACACTTTGTTCTAAACAGTATTTGGAAGTGAGATGGTGGGAGCATTCCGAAAGTTAGGATCGAGGATAAGAAGTTCGCCTTCATCAAGGCGATCGAAAGCCTTCGTTATTGGAGCGATTCGCTACTGACGTTTCTTCTCAATACCATAACTACCGAAAACTATTTCTTACTTTTTTTAGAGTTTGGAGCGGAACAGCAAGGAATTACCCAATAGGGTTCATCAACAAAGCCCCATGAAAATAGGCTTGCCTCCTGCCGAAAGCTACGAGGATTTCGTCGCCGATGAGGTTGATGGACAATTTGCAGACCAATTAGAAATGGGTACCAACATGAAAGAAAGAAAACGGAGGTCCCCATATGAATATGACGTGCAGGATTACCCACCCGATTACTTCGATTTCGACAAGGATGATGGCGAAGACGTGGAATGCCCGGGTCCGAATGAAGTGACTGATTTGGGAAGTGTTCCACCGGAGCTGGAGGGACCTGGAAGTGTGCACGATATGCACAATTTGCAGTGGCGAGGTTACTAAATTTGCAATTTGGAGTGTGCAAAGGCCTCACTATATTATTGTTTGCTTATAACCAAATTGATTAAGTTTTATTTTGAATAAATAAAGCTCTTCCATTCAGTATTGTGTTGTTACGTTACAATAAGCTTTGCTTCTATACATATCCAGAATAACTAATGATTGTGCTGCATGGGGGAAATCGACCAGCATTTTTTTCATTTTTCTCCATTCGAGATAGACTTGAAAATAAACAAAAGTCGAATTGTGATTATGTATTTCTAAGCGTAAGTTTCAATTCAGCGCGCAGAAGTAGAGGTAGTGTTGTGACAAGTGGCGCACTGTCACACACGCATAACCAGTGTTTCGAATTCCGGATCGATATCCGCCTAGGCCAACCAAGCCTTTCATCCCTCAGGGGTCAACTAAACGATTTGGTCTGGGGTAAAAGCACTGATTCGAAAATCGGCTGGCCACTGTAAGTCATTGTATAGTTTGGATACTCAGTGGGAGGATACTGTAGCCGCCGCGGAACCGCAGCCGCTCACCGCGGGAATCCAGGGAAAGATACCGGCACCCTAGCGTTGCCATAGACATTCGTATACGCAAGCATTGTTTTCTTGTGGCAGGATTCATGTTATCATGAATAATTTTTGCCCATGCACACATCACCCACACACAAGCTTCCAGTACTACTCTTACAAGCACACACATATACACTATATCCAAATACATACCCACACCTTGCGCACTGCATTTGACGAAGAACAGTGAGGTGCACAAATAATGCCAAAAAGGAGACACAACGCGGCCTGATAGGTAAAACTTTATTTCCTGCGCTTCTCATTTTGCACATAAATCGAGATATTCACACGAATTGACCCATGAACAAAGGATTACTGTCTTTAGTGAGAATGAACATAAACGGATGATTGGCTTGGAATTTCACGGGTTCTTCCCTAATAAGTGCACCCGTTGCTCTCACCGTGAAGACTGTGGCAGCAGCGGCTGTCGTGCCGTCCTCATCAACCTGAATTGGGTTTTCGTTCAAGAGGAAGTGTACCCAAATGAATCCTTGAAGGAACACGAAGGTGCACCTCGATTATGGCTCTATGTGCGGCATTGGAGACTTTGAGCGGAGGTTCTTTGGTGATTCCAGTCAAGTTGGCGTTGTTACTGAACATCTCCGTAACACCCATACCAATCAGAGCCTCCTTGAGTTTGAAGTCCGTCTCAATCTTCATCTTCGGTATTGTGATCTGTGACAAAAACTGTTACCACAGCAGCGGGTCTATTTTTAGTTCCCTCTCTGATCCTTCCTCATATGTCAAACGTCTCAAGGAACTTTGAAGGTTTGATAAAAGTTTTAAACATTCAGCAGTACCGATATGTAGGTGTCTTTCAGTTTCGAGAGAAGACTTTGGATTCTCTCTCCTGTGAGCCTTGAACGGACTTCGTTGAGACCAAATCTGGAAAAATGTTAGACATGGCGTCAATTTGGGGTTTGCGGCTTCGACCGACTTCACTTTGAAATGCATCACGCCTATGCAATTAGTTGCAGGGCCTAGTTGACTTGCCAGTATGATGGACTTGATAGTCAGGGTTTGCTTGTGGTAGCCATCACATTCAACACTACCCTTCCTTCGTTCCATTAGAGAAATATAAGAAATGAGAAACAAATGATTTGGTTGAAAATGGAACTGCTCCTAGGTTCATGTAATGCTTCCTCACCTGTTTTTAGGCAAGAAGATATTGAGTGCATACGAGGTATCCAAATACTGAAGAGAAAGAACTTGGAGCTCGTTGTCTTCAGCGTAAAGCCTGTGTGTACGAAAAGCATTCATATACTCAACCTGAAAAAGATTAAAACATATTTATTTTCAACCATGAACGATTGGGTAGAATAAGAAGAAAACAAGTCAGGTCCTTATCCTACTATACATAACGCGCAAAGTGTGTCTATCGGTCCGTGCACGTACGCGTGTTTGATGATTGACTCCTGTTCTCCTGGACCCAGAGCGTTCGAAACTGGTGAGAGTTCCCGTTGCAAGACGGGAACAGTGAGTGTGGGCTCCGCCCATAGAGGGCGGGGCGTGAGCAGTGATGGTGGGCTCCGCCCACAGAGGGCGGGGTGTGCGCAAAAACGATTGGACTGGGTTTAGGGCGCCAGTGACTGTAGCTCTTCGCGGCTTAGGGGAACTCAGCGCTCAGCGCTAGGCTCAACGCTGCACTCCAGAAGCGTCCACGCCCGCCTTTCTTTTGATGCGTCGAGTGTAAGGTCGGATAAGGATGTATGTATTCAAATAAGGTTATGCAGCAAGATGGAATATTCCGCCGCAAATCCCTGTTTTGATTGCATTCCATTTAATCATGAAGTTACTCCCAAGAAGCATGGTTTTGCTACAGCATTCCCATTTTTAACCTCATCGTTCAATCCCAATGAATTGCCAGTGGCTTCCTATTGTCTTGTAAGTTCTGCTGCAACAAGACAGAGGGATATGCAGTATATTTCGAGCTACAGGAGGCCAACCTCTCGCTCGTTCGCTGCAGAGCTGTAGAATGTGCCGTTCGAGTTTGCGTGTTTGAAGAATTTGGACTTCCATTCAGCAGTAAAATAGATGGCATTGACAATCAAGGAGAATGCACCTGCAAAAGAGAGATCAGTTCCTTCAACTCAATTAGACGCTTATCGAAGGCACAATCAGCCCATAAAGGTATATGGCCAGGATTTCCAATAAGTTCCCTTCATTGCGTGGGTCTTCAAAACAACCGATAATGTACCTTTAACTGAGTTTTCATTTACCATGTCGCGAACTTTTCCCTCAGTCGTATGAGCTATGAAATCGTCAATCACCTAAAGTGTTCCGATGTTCTGTATCTTCTGAAGTGATGTTAGGGTGGCCTGAGAAACCGTAGCAATTACCTTGGCAGCTTCCTTTGCTTTCTCAAAATCTAAAGTCTCAACTTTTGCCTCGTACGCCCTTTTGATGGTTTGCTCATAGTCGTACTCAACTTTGAACTGCTTGCTGGAAATTTCGAAAAGAGTTATTGGGAATGATTTTCTAGAATAAACCCACTCACTTCAGGAAGAATCCATTAGCTATCCTGCTCTTCACGCCATTTGTTGGATTCATAATTTGATGAAAGAGCTTTGAGAAATACTCTTCCACCTCGTTATCTGACGCTCCTGGGAACTTTTGATGACACACATATCATCACAACATGGAGAGGTCGGACTGGGCTCCTTACCTTTTGAAATGACGGAATTAATTTGGGATCTCGTAGTTCCCTTCGAACCCGCTTGAACCATGGCCAGAGCGAAGATCACGGAGATCGGCGATACCACCAAAGAGTCGTTGGCAGAAGCATATCGCAGCATACTAAGGCCAAAGTCAGTTTCGACAGATGGAAACATCCTGAACAGTTCATTTGGAAACTTAGACGAACCTCAATGGCTTGTTTTATGGTTGGAATTATGTTAAAGGGGTTGAAAAACAAAAGTGAAGACGGAGAACAGTGGACTGAAAGGCAAAAAAAGCTAGCAAAAAGGTTACAGATCCGGATGTCGGCTCACCCTTCGGAGAAGCACATTTTTACAATTACCAATTGGGCTACAGGTAACCATCACATGTCCACAACTGCTTATCTACGATCTTACCCAGAAAAAAACATAGAAACATTTCTCATGCATTCACGAAATGCTTCACCCGTAATCCTGCTTAGGTTTCAAAACTGGGAACTAAACTCCAAACTCGAAATACTTGAGGTGCGTAGCTGTCATGGACATATACGTTAGGAATTTTGCACGAATTTAGCGATAGAAAATTGCGCATTTGCGGTTTAACAGGACGAAAGACAGTCAGCAGGGTGAATGCCTGATATCAACCGATACCTCGATCACAAAGCGATCAAACGTTCTTCAAAGATAGGAGGAGAGCATCGCCGACAGAATTACCCATAGTGACAATAAGAATCAACACTGTGAAAAGTGTTCGAACTACTCACCCGGTCTGTAATCAATTTGAACACGGCCCTTCGATTACCCCTGCAATCTATTTTTGTTTGTGCCGTACAAGTGATCTATTAATCAAGAGCAGAACGACGCATCAAAAGCGAAACTGGAATTGCCATTCGATTTTTCACAGCTTTTTGTGCTGATTTATCGACTCTCATTGATTAGCCCTTACCTTCATCACTCATAGTAGCAGCATGGACGCATTTTCTGGTGACTATGTCGTCCTTTCGACCCCATCCAACCCTGTGGCTCAAGAACTTTTCTGGACACCCTCCTATGTGTAGAAATTTGCCCTGACGATCCTCATGTTTCTGGAGGTTCTTTTTCTTTGTCATTTCCCGTCATACCAATCCGGTCTATATGATATCTATGCATGAGTAGTGATATTGAATGATTTTCATTGTCCCGGTTGTCGGGCTGCTGCTAAATGGCAGATACAGCTACACACGACTTTCTATAAAGCGAGAAACTTGATTTGTGGTGTCTCTCACCACTGTCACCATGCACACATATATGTATGTAGCTGATGAAATTGATATGTGACCGTGATAAGAGATGCCACAGATCGAGTTTTCTTCTTGATAATAAGTTGTACGTCGCTGTATCTACCATGTAGCAGCCTAACAACCTGGAAAAAATAAAAAAATTATTTAATATCACTACATGCACAGACAACAGGGTGTGGTAACTTCTCCCCGAAAATCCCATCGCGCTATTCGCATCCGTACGCGCAGTCGCGCGCTATGAAGGGGGTGATTTGAATCCATAGGGGAAGGATACGGCAGCCGCCGCGGAACCATAGCGGCTCGTCGTGGAAATTCGGACAAATGTACCGCATATCATGCATGCCTGCATACGTCATATCTTACAACCTCCCCGGATAGTATCCAACACGCCTCGCGAAGATGTACTGAGAAAGAAGCTAGTATGATCATTCACTTTTTCTCAAGAGTCACTGGAAGTCATGGTGCTGAATAGCGCAAAGGATCCGAAAAAAAGGGAGGGAATCAGCAGATTCCGACTGATGAGAGGTTTCAAAAAAGTAGAAAAAAGGGTTGTATAAAGTTATGATAACATTTTCAATTTAAATCACGTTCTGACTATTTCATGGTTTTAAAAGTTATGCTTAGGCTTCTAGATATTACTCATTTCTGCTTACTCCTCTTTGTGGTAACGGCTATGGCGCTTACATAATTACATGAAAATTTGCTTTCCCTGCTTTGGTCTTTTGTTATGTGTATCCTTTGGAAGCTACACTGTTATATAGCATGCGCTGTTTGCTTCAAAAGTTCCATTTAATCTAGTAACTCGTTCAGACCTTGTTCGATTCCGGTGTCCATCAAATTGAACAGAAACGAATCAAAAATTAATGTTGTCTTTCTGACGCTAAAAAGGGCAGTACTAAGGACAGAGGCATTTCATCCAACGCAGTTAAAAAGCAGTTGCAAAGAGCTCTGATGCAATCGAGGGATCTATGGTGATTCTAGCAAGAATGGAACTGCCTGTGATGAATGAGGTAGCCATGGTCAACAAGAACCAGCAGCATGAAAAGGCGGGTCCAGGCACCTTCAGGCATATTAAAGCAGTTTAGTGAAAATTCAAATTCGGGGCACGGATACTGTAGCAACAGGCCTGTTGTCAGTGGTCAGGGCTACCCAAAGATGGGTGTTGGTTTTCAAAAGGCTTTCTCACGGTTCTTCTTGATTTTTTCATTCGTTGCACGCAATACTCTTCATCATCCTTTTTGCTTCTACATCTTCTTGGCATGAATCCAACCACTACAAAACGTTCCTCTGAAGTCTTGTTTCGCCGCAATTATCCAACCAATCTGTTCAGGATGTTCCCTACTGTCGTAACAGACTTTGGCCTAAATATGCTACGGTATGCGTCGGCTAACGACTCTTTGGTGGTGTCACCGATCTCCGTAATCCTCGCTTTGGCAATGATCCAGGCTCGGAAGGAATTACAAAGTCCCAAATTAATTCAGTCATCTCAAAGGGTCAGGAAAACATCCTGAGACCTGCTTCAGTAATGTGTGATCATCGAATGTTTTCAGGAGCGTCAGTAATCGAAATGGAAGAGTATTACTCGAAGCTCTTTCATCAAATCATGAACCCAACGAATGGCGTGAAGACCAGGATAGCCAATGGATTTTTCTTAAAGTAGGTAGGGTTACTTCAGAAACTCATTACCCAGCAATCGCATTTGAAACTTCCAGCAAGCAGTTCAAGGTTGAGAACGACTACGAGCAAAAAATTGGAAAGGTGTACGAGGCAAAAGTTGAGGCTTTGGATTTTGAGAAAGCAAAGGAAGCTGCTAAGGTAATTGCTACCGTTTCTCATCCCATCCTAACACGACTTTAGAAGATTTAGAGTATCGGAGCTCTTTGAGGTCATTGATGATTTCATTGCTCGCGCGACTGAGGGAAAAATTCGTGACATGGTGAATAAAGACTCAGTTGAAGGTACTTCATATCCTTTTTTTGATGGCCTCTCGATGACTCCTAATGGAAAAAAACCCATTGGAACTCTTGGCTTGATGCCCCTATGGGGGCTGTCCAAATGTCGTCTTATTGGCTTGAGAAAAATTGGACACCTTTGTAGACGCGTACTCCTTAGTTGTCAATGCTATCTATTTTACGGCGGAATGGAAGTTCAAGTTCTATAGGAGCTCAAATTCCAACGGCACATTCTACAGCTCCGCAGGGAAGAAACGAGAGGTTGGCTTTAGTAGCTCGGAAAATGGGGCACATTTCCTTTTTCTTGCACTATGACTCTCACATATATCGATGAAAATCCATCTACAGGGATTAAAGACGAAAAAACAGGCTCATTAGAAAACTCGGCTCTAAAAAATTAGCATTATGAATGAATCAGTCGCATCGCCCGGATCAAACCTGGCTCCCTTAGATCCTGTTTTGACCACAAGCCGTCGCCTCCATCCCTTCCGAACTGGGAGGCTCTGGTTAAGGAAATGGGAAGCTATGTATTTTCATTTCCAATTTACGTGAAGCTTGCCTTTGTTCTTGTGGTCAGTGCAGGCCACGGGAGTAGAATTCCACTCTTACTTCCATTCTTTGACATTAAAGGCAAAATAACGGCGTGCGAAAATGAGATCCGTACTGGAAAGTTATCTGAAGCGTCATACTTCCGCGAGAGAAGTCCGAAGCTGAAAAAAATAGGGGCATGGCGTTTCTTCTCTTACTTCTCCATCGTCCACGGGTAGAAGCGAAAGTGTGTTAATCTGTTTCAGGTTGAATACATGAATGATTTTGATGAGCACAGGCTTTACGCTAAAGACAACGATCTCCAAGTTCTTTCTCTTGAGTATTTGTATACTTCGTATGCACTCAATAACTTTTTGCCAAAAAGCAGGTGAGAAAGCACTACATGAATAACACATGAAAAACTGATTCCCAAGCGAGATCATTTATTTTTCATCTACTAAATTCCTAATGGAGCAGAGATATTGTAGAACTAATCGTTGAATGATGCTACAAGCAAGCCATTATCAAATCTTTCATGAGGAATCCTTGCAAGTGAGTTAGGTCTGGTGGTCGAGTGATTGGTGCCAAAGTTGTTCGGGCTAGTAGAACCCTGATTGCAAATCGACCAACCCTGCAAATAATTGTAGAGGCCCAATGCATCACACATCGGAACTCATAGAAATCGGACTCTTATCAATTTGTATACGTCTGCAATTTTTCCAGATTTGGTCTCCACGAAGTGCGATCAAGGCTGACAGGAGACAAAATTCAGAGTCTCCTCTCGAAGTTGAAAGAAACCTACATTTCGGTACCGCTGAGCGTTGAAAATTCTTATTTTTTATCTGGAGTGGGGAGAAAGGAGTCGGGGGAGGAACTGAAAATAAAACTCTTTCTTGTGGTAATAGCCTCTTTCACAGATTACAATCCCGAAGATGAAGATTGAGACGGACTTCAAATTTAAGGAGGCACTGATTGGTATGGGTGTTACGGAGATGTTCAGTAAAAGCGCAAACTTGACCGGAATCAGCAAATATCCTCCGCTCAAAGTTTCCCGTGCTGCTCACAGAGCCATAATTGAGGTAGTATAGTTTAGTTAGGTGATCCTTAAAATTTACTTGGACACTTTTCTCTATGGAAGGGATACCATTCAGGTCGATGAGGACGGGACGACAGCGGTGGCTGCTACATTCTTCAAAATTGTACCAGAGTCTGCGATCATGGAAGAGCCAGTGAAGTTCAAAGCCGATCATCCGTTTTTGCTGCTTCTCACCAAGATAACAATCCTCTATTCATGGGTCAATTCGTTTGAAGACTTTGGTTTACGTGGAAAATGTGAACATTGCAAGAAATGAAGGTTGAGTCATCAACATTAAGTATAGTAGCTGTTCGTCATCAAGGGCTTCGAGGAGATAGTTGAACTTATAGATGTCATCCATGTTTCTCGAATGTACATCATTGGTAAAAGAGTTCCAAAATGTCTCCCAATCCCAGATGTCGCCGCTGAATCTGAGGAGCGAAATCGGTGTGAGTTTCATTTCCGCAATCTCTGAAGCTGATGTCTGGGCTTGGGCCTGGTCCACCAGTTCTTCCTTCAGTTGCAACAGCTTCTTTAGTGCGCCATGCGCTCGATCCAGAATCTCCTGAGCAATGTGTCGATGTTCGCTTCTGCCCGTTTCGGGATCTCCTCTCTCGATAGCGTTTCAGCGGGCAATTCATCCATCATGTTGCTGTACTTTAGCAGGGTATCCTCAACTTTCTCAACTTCCCCCGTCAAATTCGCCTTTATTGTCCGAATTCGTCTGTGCAGCTCCTTAGGATCCTCTGAATCGATCGATTCCAGTCGCCTTTCGAAAAGCCTGGCGTATTCGTCCACTACCCCACATAATCGATTACGAGCATCGTTTTCAAACGATTTCCCTTTTTAAAGCTTGTATGGTAAAGAAGTTGATGGACCCACTTCCTCTTCCCGGGGTCCGTCTCGCTCTTTCTGAGTTGTACTTAACAACTGTGCTCGAGTCTGGGTCCTCGACTGTCTTTTAGACTTCGCTCCTATTTGTCATCGATGTGTTGCTCCTATTTGTTCTCGAGTTCAGCGAATATATGGTCAGCGATCCCGATGACCATATATTCGCTCGGTGGTCGACGCCTCAAACTTGTGTAATTAAACTCTATGTTGATAAACGATTAACAATCAATCAATCAAACCAATATAACAATCTGAATAGGAGAGGCCGATCAATTAAGAAACAATAAATGCGTGAGAGGGAGAAACTAATTAAGAGAACAACGTAAGAATGGCGTGCTCTTCAGGCAGCCCCTTTTTATAGGCAATTTCCCGCGCAATCATCGTTGACCATCCCAATCCATGCGCGTTGACCACCCAAACCTCTACAATCAACACTCAATCGAGTCGAAAAATAGTGAGGTTATCATTGTAAACGCGGCCATTAACTAGTGGCCACTACACATTCCTCTGTTTCAGTTTCAAAACAACTCTCGATTTCGTACTGATTGTGAGGAGGGGAACCTGTAGATGTAATATGTTGCTTGGACGTATACCATGCACATATCAAGAAATCTAATACAGTTCCATAAACATTTCCAAAAATTCCATAGTTTAATGAAGGTTACACCATGAATGTTTTTTCCACTGCACCGCCACTACAAATGGCTGAATGTGTGCGCAGCCGTGAGCGTCGTTGTACTCCCTTCAAAGATCTCCATCATGTAGTGGTATTTATGGTTATTGAGTAAATCTAGATGCAGTTGAAATAATAGATATGACATGTGTTTTCTTTGAACAGTGGCTAAACGGGAGAAACAAGGTCGCATAAAAGTCTGGCCTCTCCTGCAGATTCCATTCAGCTAACCTCACCATCGGTGTTTGCATAGGAATTTTATATTCACTATATTTGTCGTTTCGGTAAACAACTCCACCTTCCTTTGGTGAAATTAGAAGCTTAGCAGCGTCACTGTACCATGGTGTTGACTAGGAGATCGTTCAGATAAAAATCAACTATAGAAGTCTTTAGGCAAAAAACAGAAATCAACGGCATTCCATGATTGATTCATTTAAAAACTTATGCAACAGTTCGAGTAGCAAATATGTTTTACATCATGTAGCATTTCCAGATGTATCTACTCGTTCTTCTACTAGTCACAGCTTCAGCTTCTGCAGCTCTCAATGTGGTAAGTTTAAATGTCCTTGTGAACTGCACAGAAGAGTCAACACTATGCTTTATTTACCACTGCTATATTCGCTTCTACATCAGTCTCCAAAATAGTCATCCACAAAAGCAAATGCGAAGATTTTGTGCCGTACTGCTAGGATCGTGATTGTCTAATCATAATTCATGGAGAAAAGGAGAAAAAAGACAACAGAAATTCCTTTCAACACATTCTTCGATTGCCTTTTCTTAGATTTCCCAATTTTAGCTGATTAATTATCTTCAGACTTCTATTCCTTGACCAGTTCCACATAATTTCGCGGATTATATCTCTGAACAGGGAGGATTTTCCACTCTATAAATCTGCCCAACCGTTTCTCAAAAGGATTCTGGCAAAAGTTGTTGATCCTCAAAGGTTGTTGGCCTGGGTCAGGGAATGTCCATGAGCGCTTAAAATAGGATCGCAATCTAGGAATTAGTTGATTTTCTAGAATACTCGAAACGAACCGGATACAAAACTTCATGATTCTAACAAAGTAGACAACTGTTAGAAGGTTCATAACCCTAGTTGGTGAAGGTTTCCATGCTCTAAACTTAGTATTGAGAGTAATCAAGCACAATGAATGAGGGAAACGAATAAGATATAGGTGAAAAAACTAGACATATTTCAGAGAAGTGGAGTCAGAAATGCTGAAATAATACCATTACCTCAAGGAACTACGCCAAGAAGTCTTGTAACACCACGGGTACCTGCCTTTACGACTGTTCCTACTGCGGTGCCATATTGTATGGTATGCTATATGGTTAGAAGAGAAGATCTTCCTTTCGCTACCCGGAGAGCAGCAAGAACTGGAAATGGATGGGTTCCGCCATAAGGAGCAGTCGGACCCTGGCCTGTGCCAAATGGTTTTTATGGACGAAGAGGAGGAAGAAGAAGGAGATTATGGCGGTCATAGTGATAAGTCAAGAGGTTTCATGGTTTCTGTGGGTTTCCCTTGTTGTGAACGTTCGAAATGATTCTAGTCCAATCTGCAGCTTTTCGTGATTGAATAAATGAAGAATACATTACCCATTAGGTCGTTCTTAGCAGGATATGAATAGATATAATTGACTGAAAATTGTGGGTGTTGACATTGAGATTGCCTGCTATTCGAAATTTAGGGAATTATAGAGGAATAATCGTAGACAACTCCGTCGTCGTACATCTCGATCTGGATTTTACATACTTTGAATCAATTTATATGTTATTGTACCTTTCGAAGGTGATGCAATGAAGCTTTTTTCAATTAGATCAGTCGCTTACACGTACGGCTTTCTATGAACCTCGGCATAACTGTTGTATTACTGAGTTTATTGTTGTTGAACTCTTCACGAGATTTGTATATACGTTTCATTGGGTTGACGTTTCAGCGAAGTCGCCTTCTTCAAAGCCTGAAAGGATCGTAACAGTCTGTGCCTATCCGATC